CCCCCCCCCCCCCCCCCCCCCTTCCTCCCCCCCTCCCTACATCTCTCCTTCCGTCCGTCTGTTCGTTTAGGGATGCATCTCCATTTTTTGCAGGGGTGCTGTGTTGCAAGGGCGACAGGATGTTGCTCGGCCGCTATCAGCAGGAGTAGGCGGGGATCGTGCCGTGAACGCCGAGAGGCACGGCGAGAAGGAACACTACAGGTAGGGGGAGGTCAAGTGCCTTGTAAAAGGTAGGCGGGAAAGGGTCGCCATCGAAATCTTGAGGGGCTGGAGTGGCAGAAGAAGGGGGAGGGGGAGGGGGAGGATGCGGGATTAGGAGAGTGAGAGGGGGTCACAGGATTTGGTCTACTATTAGGATGCGTGCGACGAGGGAGGAAGTAGAAGGAGAGAGTCGCCGGGACAGGGTGAAGCATTCAAGGTAAGTTCACGGCCGTTGAGGTTGCACGAGGGTCATACGGTGATACCCCTAGTGACGCTGCCCCGGCTTTCGGGAAAGGAAAAAAAAAAAGAAAAAAAAAAGAAAAAAAAGAAAGTGCAGAAGGGTAAGACGTCGAGGAGGGAGCTAAAGAGAGCTAAAGTAAGTGGGAGGAGGATGTAGGTGGGGGACACAACTTGCGAAGAAGGGGATGCGCAGCGATATTTCCCCTGAACCTTCTCCGTGGATTGGGAGGGAGGCTGATCAGGAAGTGGGTGGGATCGAGAGGAGGAGGAGGAGAAGGTCCGAATGCCAGGCAATCAGGGTGAGGATGGAGGAACCGATGAAGTTTCAGGGGAAAGATCCCAAAGGGAAATCAGGGTGAGGATGGAGGACCCGAGGAATTCTCAGGAGAAAGAGCGCAAAGGCAATCAGGGTGAGAGAGGGCGTATGGGGGTATGCGGACAAGGTACGGAAGAAGAAGAGGGGGATTGCAAGGAAGGACGAGGGGCTCAAAGGGAGGAGAGAACAGGAACAGGTCAGGTTGTAATGAACGGAGAGGGCAGGATAATGACGAAGGGGGGGCTGAATGAGGAGAGGGAGAGGGTGAATGTGGATATGCAGGTGATGGAGAGAGAGAGAGAGAAATGAAGAGAGAGGAAGAGCGACAGGCAGAGCAAGAGAGGAAAGGACATACCTCTCTCTTCATTTTTCTCTCCATCGGCAGAGCAAGAGGGGCCACATCGAGTATCGGAGGAGCAGGAGCTCAAAGAGGATCCCAACGGAGGAGAGAAAGCCAAGGAAAAAGGCGGGAAGAGAGAGAGGGGAGGGACAGACACAGAACAAGGAAAGAAGAGGATGGGGTAGTGCTGGCCGGAGATCGGGCGGGCGGATCGAGGGCGCAAGGCGAAGATGCAATCAGACAGGAGGAAGGGAGGCAATGGAGAAGGAAGACGGGAAAAAAAAGAAAGGCCAATCAGGAAGGCGTCCACATAGCGGACATAGTGAATCCTTTCTAAAATGACTCTGGCAAGCCGACGAATGCGACGGCCGAAGGCGTGTGTCTTGCTTGAAGGAAGGCTGCTCTCCGGTCGCCGTCGTGAGCAAGGGCGACCGCCGCAGGCATGCGAAGGACCGGTATTTTGTCCGCGACCTGCGGCGGTCGCCCTCTCGGGAAGAATGAGTGTGTGTGTGTGTGTGTGTTCATGTGTGTGTGTGTGTGTGTGTGTTTATGTGTGTGTGTGTGTGTGTGTGTGTGTGTGTGTGTGTGTGTGTGTGTCTATCATCCAGTATTATTATTATTAATTCTAATTAATGCATCGACATGATAAACACATCATCAGATGTCTATCACATTTCATCATTTCATCATTGAACTCTGTCCCAATCACAACAAGAGTCCTTTAAAATATTGCTGCAGCGGTATTCTTCCTCTCTCTCTCTCTCTCTCTCACGGCATCTCTCTCTCTCGATTTGTAGAGAGTGAGAGAGGCTCTTGAGAGACGGAACTTGAATATATCCCTTTAATGAAACCTTATCCATTTAATGAAACCTGGAGAAAATGAAGGAAAAAGATTCAACCCCCTGGCATCAAAAAAAGGTTAGGTTCATTGATAAGAAGAAAAAAAAGAGAGATCCAACCCCTTGCGTCTGAAAGAAAGATTCAAACCCGGTTTTTTTGGGAGAGAGAGAGAGAGAGAGAGAGAGAGAGAGAG